ATCTTCTGAGAAAATATTTTATTTAAAAACGTCAAAAGTTATTGTACGTAAAATTTCACCTGAAAAACAATCTTTGCACCATAACGAATTTATCTACTTCCCGAGAAAATATATCAGAAAAACTCGACACATTGTCTCAGTGTTAATCTGTTTGATTAACGATCTAATTACAAACAGCAATATTGATTGGCTAAGTGTACTAACACATCACAAAATAAAACGTAAACACGGACGTACTTACGTTCTCAGCCAAGAGTGTTGCACCAAAACAACTTAAAACTACACAGAAATACAGAGTAAAGACACACAACGAGTAAAAGGCAAGAATTATTGCGTAAGTTTGAAATTTAAGTAGAGTTTCATTAATGATTTTATGTTTGTGTGATCGCTAGGTTTTTGTACAAAGCGATATAGACCACACGTGTAAACCGGCTGGCGCTGGAAGCGCGACTGGACCCATTCGGGGCGGTCTGGGCGGGCTGGGCGCCCAGCAGTCTACCCAGGTACGCCTATACCCCCTCTCCCCTCCACAAACGTAAATTACACGAATGCCAACCTGTTTCGTCTCCCCTGTTGAAGTCAGTCATCAAATCTTGCGGGAGTTGTGGAAGTGTGATCTTTGTAACGTAATAATTTAATACTCTTTAACAGCGTATGTTTATTTACCTTCGAAGACGAGATTTTTTATGTACCGATCGGGCATTAAAGATTCCGTTCTTTACAGTGTTTTTTTAAAATAAATATTACTTACTGAAAGATTTTAACAGCTCATGTAGTAAAAGATCTTTATAGTTAAATGCTCATACTTAATGCGTCTTATTTCTCTCTTAAAGTTTTACTTATTGGTTTATTAGGTCAACAGACAACTTTTTTGCAACTTCTTCAGATTGATCCCGTTGCGTGTCCACCGACTTTTATCTTTCTCCCGGGACTCTCCTAACTAAACTTCTCTTTCGCTGGTTGGGTTTTATTGGCAAACTGTAGTTCCTGGCTACACAGTTGTGGTGGGAACGTGGGGGTGGGGAATCCCCTCTACCCTTGAGTTAAATATTCACTACGGGCATATCATCTCTGGGGATTGCGTGTGTACATAAGGTTACAAGCGTATACATAGCTTTTCCGAGTCGTTAACGATCCCAGATATGAGCCAATGAATAAGTAAAAGGATTTAAAGGGCTGGGCATGAGTAATTTTTCTTCTTCTTCTTAGTCGGGCTAGGGCTTCTTCTCAGTGCTCTCTGACATGTTTTTACTATATTTAATTATCACCTACATATGACAGTTATTATTAGATTTATTTGACAAAGATTATATTATTATGATGACGTTAAGAATACATATGTATAAATGTATACTATGTATAAATAATTATTTAAGTAACTAACTATAATTAGTAAAACTGTTGTTTAATGTTATTATTAAAATGTACTATGTGTGTACGAGTATGTCTTACATACTATTTATATCAATTTTATATCATGAGCTCTTTTAAAAGCTGGAGAAAACTTGAAGCAACTATTAAAATAAGTATTCGAATTTTCGCACTTCATATTTTTAAATCTATATATATAAAAGAAAGTCGTGTTAGTTACTTCGCTTATAACTCAAGAACGGCTGAACCGATTTAGCTGAAAATTGTCAGGGAGGTAGTTTAGAGCCAGGAGAAGGACATAGGATACTTTTTATCCCGTTCGAAATTAAAAAAAAGTCTGCTTATTTATTGCCATTAAGGCGAAACAAAGTTCGCCGGGTCAGCTAGTTATTAAAAAAAATAACTTATACCTCCAAATAAATAAACAGCATCAAGTTTCCCAAAAGTAATCACCACGCCATGCTACGTCTGCGGTATACAAGTTGAACTTTCAGAATTTCATAAAAACTTTTTCTTATTTCAAATTGCCTCTTTTTTCTGCTACAGGGAATTGCGTTACAGTGCCTCGAAACATAAATATGAAACTGTTTTGATTGGATGAGCGAGTGGAACCGTTTATCTGTATTGGAGTATGGATTGTGTGGAATTACAGTGTGGTGGGAAATCGGCTAACATATAGAAGAAAAGGAAGTGGGAAAATATTTTTAGGTTCGTTCGTTCGTTTCAGCCAAATGACGTCCACTGCTAGACAAAAGCCTGCCCCAAGGATTTCAACAACGACCAGTCCAGCGCCGCCCGCATCCAGGTGACTTTCAACAGATCATCGGTCTATCTAGTGGGGGGCCAGCTCACACTACGTCTTTCGGTCCTTAAACACCACTCGACAACTTTTCTGCCCCATCACTCTCGAGAATTTTGGGTAAAAAATAAATACTATTAGGCCATCTACTATTGAACCTGATAGAGAGAACAGCTCTTTGACAGGATGATATACAATACAAACGCTTCACCTTCTTACAATTTAGTATTGATTTAATGGATGTCGCCAACTAGGGTCAAAGTTAGAACCATGTATGAAAGCTGCATTGTGAATTTCTATAAACCACTTTATGTTATAAAATATACCTACATAGGTTTTACCCTAATACGGGTTTTAGTTGTCAAAATGTTAATTGTACACCTGTTAAATAGATTTAGGTCTCAGCCTTCGACGTGCTATTCAGGTCACACGTGATCGTCTCAACTCAAGGCTCCTTGCCATTTAATTTGACAATTAATTCACTTATGTAACTTAGAAACTTTTTAAACAATTTTGTCATACAAATTACTTCTTGTAGCTCGAATTCTCACGTATTAATAAGGCCCTTTGAGGATACGTGAGCCCGCTTTTCAAGTTTGAATCTCCTTTCAGGGTCATTTTCTTACAAAACTTCATCGTTTCAAAGTTCTTTACTTAGATTAGGAAACTTTAAATGATAAATCTGTAGTGCCGAATACTTTTATTCAGTGAAACGGTCTAAGACCAAAGTTCGTAGGTCTGCAGGCTGTGCTAAGATAGATTGGCTAAGTTTGCAAGATGTTAAGTGAAATTTGCGGTCGAGTACGCCTCAGGTCGATAATACTATTACCTATCTCTTTAGCTCGACGGATTAGCAAGCTGAAGTGGCAATGGGCAGGGCACATAGTACGCAGAACTGACGGCCGATGGGGCGGCAAGGTTCTGGAATGGAGGCCGCGTACCGGAAAACGCAGCGTGGGACGTCCACCCACAAGGTGGACCGACGACATCATAAAGGTAGCGAGAAAGCGCTGGACGCAGGCTGCTACCAACCGGGTAACATGGAAAGCATTGGGGGAGGCCTATGTTCAGCAGTGGACGTCCTATGGCTGAGATGATGATGATCTCTTTATCTGGTCTTGAACCATAAATTTTTATCCAACTCTTTGACCGGTCGTGAATTTTTTTGGTTTTTCAGCCGCCAATTTAATTCAATACAATAAAAAACAGCTTTAAACCACTTAAATTAAAACAACAATATTAAGTAAAATATTGCAAACGTCTGTACTTAGATCTTAAAATTTAAGAAACGGTGTACAGTCAACGTCAAATAGTTAGTGACACCCAAAGTAGCCAAAAAGTTCGCAACACGTTTATGTTACAATCGGAATAAGGTTGTGTTGTGAACTTTTTGGTCACTTTGGATGTCACGAACTATTTGACGTATAGATGACCCAAACTTAACTGTCCCACCAAACTCATTGGCAGAGGGGCGCCACTATCGTTTAACTATACGTATAGTTTTCAGTTTTCAACATGATAAAAATCTGAACCAGCGATTCGGTATTGACGGTGGCGCCCCGCTGTCAATGTCACGGATAGGACAGTTCAGTATTTGGGATCTTTACCCTTGTTTCTTAAATTTTAAGATCAAACTACAGGCGATCACATTGTAAGTGGATTAAAGCTGTTTTTTATTGTATTGAATTAAATTGGCGGCTGGGAACCAAAACATTATGCAATCACTCAAAGAGACGATTAAAATTGATGGTTTAAAATTAGCTTATATTTAGATGATCTCTTTAAAAATATGGATATAAGGATTTTGTATGGAAATTAGCCAGATATTCAAAGTGTTGAACCCAACTCAGCTGATTCTGTTCGGGTGAAGTCGTGTCGGTTCCTGCGGCCCAGTTCTGTCAGTCTATTGATTGAGCTGTCCACACAAGTTAAGGAAAACATGTGGTTTCACTACGTTTCTAACTGACCAATTTCTGTTTGTTTTTGATGATCAAAGATTGATATTTCGAATGACGTAACACGTTTATACTCAGAAAAAATATTTTCTTTGATCAAGGAAAAATGACAGCCATTGGTCGTTGTCAGTAGGGCCACGCTATGTATTAATAAATACATCGTCCATATTTTTTCTATTGTTATAAGTATAGCCTATCTATGTTGTGTATCAAATAAAATATTCCGTTGCTTATCAGATGTTTATATCTTTAATTCTGATGAATTTTTGGTAAGAGTAAGTTTTAACATAAAATTGGTCACTTTTCATAAAAATAATGATTTTGCCAGGTTATCCGCATAGCTTTACGCTTGCCACGCAGTTCATCTATGTCATCCCTGCCGTATCACATGTTCAAGAACTGGGTTAAAGTTCATTGAAGACAGGGCATCACCCTGTTTAAGTCTTGTGACCACATAAAACTAGAGATGCTGACCGGGCCCGGCCGGGATGAAAAACATTCCAGGTTGCAATCTCTAGTACGAATTCCCGGGTCCGGTGGGTGCCTAAAAGGGCACCGATCCCGCTTTGGAATCTCTACTTGAAACTCATAAAGCCCGGTCCGTGAGCACGTAGAATTTTGTCCAATGACCCCTAGCAACCCATCCTTATCGCTCACGCGTAATTATATTGCTGTCGCGACTGTGCGATTGGCACCCGCAATGAGTGTGCGAACGCGATAGCAACATAATTACGCGTGAGCGATAAGGATGGGTAGCTTGGCGTCATTGGATAAAATTCTACGTGCTCACGGACCAGGCTTTAGCTGTTAGAGCATCTTGGACTTGAATTCGGACACATTGTCTCATAAAAATAATAAATAAATAAGTAAAGTACTCACGTCCTTCTTCTTGGCGTAGTAGAGCGCGCGCCCGCGCAGCTTGAAGTAGCGGCGCTGCCATCGCTGGAAGCTGTGCGTCTGCTTCATCAGGTAACCCTCCTTGACCACCGGCTGCGGGGAAAACAAGTTGTTAGTAGGGATGTTATGGATATGTAGTTTCGGTTATGGATACGGTTACGGATATAGGAATAATAATATACCCGTTTCGGTTACGGTTAAGGATATTTTTTTATTTCGGATATCCGAAAGTTTCGGTTACGGTTACGGATATCTGTGCTTTAGAATGCAATTTGCAATAGTTGTCCAACACGGTTGTTGGGAACCGATTGGTGGACCAACCTCTTTTTTATATTGTGTATGTTTTTTATACTTTTTTTATTACTTTTGATACCTTTTGTTTAGGCTGTAGTTTGATGTTTTTTGATAGCCGTTGTGGGCATTTTTTGCAGAAATATATCTTCATTTTAACCGAAGGTTTTTCTTATTTCCGCACGCCCGAGCGGCTGTCCGCAACAACGGTTCATTCATGGCCGCAAACTTTACATCGAATAAAAAGTAAATAAAAAATAAAAATTGATAATAGATGACATTATAAAGGTAAATAAGGCTGTTATGCTTTTACATTAAATGCTATACAAAAAACAATTTAGACTGCCTAAGTGCCTACATCCGAAACTATCCGAAACTTTTAAATCGGTTACGGTTACGGTTACGGATATTTTTTTATTTCGGATATCCGAAAGTTTCGGTTACGGTTACGGATATCCATAACATCCCTGGTTGTTAGCTGTCTACTTCAGTTACATAGTATAAAAAGTGGGTAAATGGCACCAATCCTAGTACACACGACAGCACATCAGGTTACCCATTTTTGTTGCAAACTCGCCCCTATTACAACTGCACAAGAACCCACAGTGGTTATGTTGACGTGCCGTCGTCCGTACATAATATCACAAACGTGAAAGTTTGGTGAGGATGGATTGGTGGAAGTTTGTTACTCTTCGCAAATATTTTACAATCAATAATTATCCGTCAGTTAAGTTCGCGACCTGATACCTTTTGACCTCTGTTTTATAGGAGCGTAGCTCATAAAATGTATGTCTATTGACAAGGGAGTCTACTATACCCTACCCTTAGGCTGAGTTGCACCACACAATTTTAACCGTGACTATAACGATAACCGGTGTATTTTGTATGGAGTTTGACAGATTTTTGACATTTGTCAAAGTTAAAGTAAGATGGTGCAACCCAGCCTTAAACATAAGTGCCTTTATATCCCTACCAAACACAAAACAATAATTTATAGGTAAACGAAATAAATAAAAATAAAAACACTCGTTTGTTTTACCTACCTATAATTTTAAAAAAAACTTCAATGTGAAAAGCATATTGCGAGCTAGTCCAGTCAGATATTGTTTCCGTTATTACATTAAAAATAGTATGAAACTCCTCTATAAATGCCGTAAAGAATTGATCAGAATTTAATTGGGGTTTATTATTTTAAAAAAGTCAGTTATGCGGGTAATGGAAAGCTAAAATTATTTTCACGCAATGCGGATGGTTATTACAGTTTTTCTCATAATCCTTAGTTTTGTTGAAAGCAGTTGTGATGTGCTATACATGTATGATTAAAAAATAAACAATATCGTGGCTAACTTTTAACATTATTTTTCATGTTTTATGATTTAAATCTGGTTCTTGACTAAAGATTTTGTCAAGTCCGCATTTTACTGATTCATAATTGTATCTATGGGTTCATTCATCACCGTTGTTTATTTTACTATCCCACATTATTACAAAATTGTGTGGAAAAATATAATTTACTACAAAGTAAATTACTACAAAGTAATTTTTTTTCAAAGTCGCACCACTTGGTACTACGAATCTAGTCCAGTGATAAAAGGGAACGCTACGCGCGTGCTATGTCGTAGACAGGCGCATCAGCCGCAGCTACGACACGTGCTACGCTGCTACGAACAGCTACGAAAGGCTACGAGCACGGGGTTGGAGGCCTCGACTTGTCGCGAACAGTTGAGTCGAAATACTTTTTTATTTAAACTAGCCATTCGTTTTTCATGTTGTTTGTACAAATGTAACTTTTTGCTCCAGGCTTCATGAGAGATTTTACTTCAGCTGAGAGAAATTTTAATAATTAAAATGGCATTACTATCTTCTTTAGAGTAGGCGCACACCGTTGATTTTTCGTCGGCCGATAGTTTAGTCGGGCAGTTGATCAGAGTGCGCACACTACGCCGATTCGATTTGGCCGATTCTTCATACAATTTAAAATCGGGCACAACTATCGGCCAACTAAAAATCAACGGTGTGCGCCTACTCTTAAGCTGCATCAGTTAAGTTCACAAGGAATACTTTGAATAAAAAGTGCAGTTTCAATCAAGCGTTGTGAAGATAAACTGCTACTTTTTATAATAAAAGCAAAGCGAATATTGTTATTATACCTACTTTAGCATAGTATGAAATCTGGTTAGGTAAACATAATACAAAAATATGATTTGTTTAATAGCTGTCTTTACATCTGGAACTAAATAGAATAAAGTAACAAATTAGGACTTTGCTAAATAAATCTAGACTTATAGGATCTCAATAAGAAAATCGTTTTTATGTTTCATTATTCTGATCGGTATTCTTGTATTTTTTTAACAACAATAGTTAAACATAACTGTGTCATTATAATTCAATCTATACAACTTTATGAAGAATGCTACACAACAGAATATTTTCTTAATCTCCTACAACATTGGTTCCCAAAGTGGGGGGCGCGCCCCCCAGGGGAGGCGCAAAGACCTTTAAAGGGGGGCGCGGGCCATATGTGTACTGAAGTATAAAAAACCTGCGACCGCTGAGAGAATGCGTTCCAGACTGCTCCTACAAGTTAATTAATTTCTGTGCCAATAATTTACTAAATTACGAGACATGTGTGTTTTATACATATTTCCTCTATTAACTACAAGTGTTGATATTAATAAAGCACGATACAAAAGCGCCGTAAATACGATACAGCTGGCGGCTGCGAAGAAACACCCTTAATTAGGACCCACGAAGAGCTCTTATGTTTGACGCTGTGCACAGTGCAAGATATGTATGTTTTATGGGATATATATTTTAGTGTTATTCAAGTCCTCGGGAAAACGTAGCGTAGGAAGGTATACATAGATCGTTTCATCCACGAAGACGCGCCCCACCAATTTTTCGTCGAGGGAAGCGCGGGGTGCGAAGAGTTTGACCCGAGCAATCCGAGTGTCATTATTGTAGTGTGAGTGTGTACTCATTGATAATTTAGCATGTACCGATAACACTCAAACATTAACGGAAGAATGGTGGGGTACGTCTTTGTGGATGAAATCAGCCTTTAGACAAAGTAGATAATTGGAGTAGTCGATTCATAAACTTTAACGATGGCTTCTTAAGTAAATAATGAGATCATTCTGTCGTATCATATTCTTTACTGCAATATAAGCTTACGGGTGGGCCAAACCAATCCTTTTCTCAGACATATTTGAAGGATTATCATTTTCAAAGGGACCTCATCCCTCTCCCAGTGGATAGTCGGCGTTACTGCGACCCTCTAATGGACGCTAAGAGTACCATTACTGGGGTAACGTCACCGCCCAAGATACACGCGGGATAAGCTGTTAACGTCTTTTAACTAATCAAAAATAATGGAAAAACTTCGCGTTTAAGTGGATGGCGAATAAAATTACATTTAATTTTAAATGCAACATCAGGCATTTTGGAAAAACTGGGGTTGAAAGTGACGAGGCTATAATTTGAAGATATTTTATTTTATTTTAATTAAGATACCATGAAAGTAGAAGTTTTTTTTAGTAGAACAAAAATTTTTCATTTTACGTTTTATCAAGGACTACATGTTTAGACACGTTAGATGACTTTGAAAATAAGTGTTCCCTCAAAAATGCGCGTACTCAGTCGTACTACATAATATTATTGTTTACCTCCTCAACAAAAGCAAACGAGCTACATTGCATCGAAGACTACTCCAATCAATTACCGTCTTTGCAGGCCTACTCTGAAACTCTATTCACATTATTTCGGATCTGTCTGTCACCGTCGCTCATGCCGGCATCCTGCTTTGTATAAAAGGGATGGCAACAATCGAAACTTCGAACGTTTTCGGAGTAGCACCGCTGTTCTGGCACCGCGCCAGCGCTACACGGCACGATAATGTTGTTCTGGGCGGTCGTTACTCCCAGCTAGGGATGTGACCACAATAGGTTAACCTAATTAACATGGCCTACGGGAATGTAAATGAGAGGGCACAGTCGAATGGAAGCAGTAGAATGTGTCTAGCCTCTTACCTACGAGAGGCACCTAAGTCAAAAGTCACTTCTCAATACGGGTGGCGTCTATTGTTGTTTTGGCAAAACCAATGCTAAATCACGGTGTACGACAAAAAAAACAATAAAATTGCAAATTAAGTGTAAATTGCGCTGGTAATTATGAAACTACATTAGTTGCAGAATATAATATTCCTCAATACCGTAAGTCTCATACTTTTTAAAATATACTCAACATCAAATAAATCGCACCTTCCGCGACGCGAACTTTAAAGATTTTCTTCTGACACAATCATGGTGCCCCAACAATATTGGTGTTATTTGAAAGCCCAATAAATAAACTTAAAGAAAAACACATTTAATTTTTTTATAAACAATTTACAGGTACCATAAATGTGATTTGAAAAAATGCCTCACTTGGGGCTCCCCTCTGGGATCAATTAGACCAGTTTTTGGGGTTATAGAACCAAATAATGATTTTACGTGTCCTTTTTAACAGATGGATAACGATTAATCCCAATTTAACAGTTTTATAGCCATAAAAGTTGGCTTAAGCGTAACTACCTATTTTTTGAAGAAGTGACTCTGGATCCTTCTAAAAACACATTTTTGGGATAAAAACCTTTCCTTTAATGAAATGAAGGTTAGAACTANCTACAGGAAGATCTAAGTAGTATAGCTCGGTGGTGCGAATCGAATAGGATGCAACTAAATATCAATAAATGCTTTTTTGTCAAATTTACAAGAAAACACCATGTTATAAAATCCAGCTATTCTATTGGGGGTGCAATGGTA